ATGGCAAGTCCAATCCGCCTAGCTTCAGCCTTAAGTCTGATGTACTTTTCCGCCATCGTCTCAAAGTTCCGTGCCATGATGTCGATGTCATCGGCGAAGCCAAGAAGCTGGATGGACTTCCTGAAGATCGTGCCACTCGTGTCTATCCCAGCTCTTCTGATCACACCTTCTAACGCGATGTTGACTAGCAGACACGGAAGTCGATCACCCTGCCGTAACCCCCTTCGAGATTCAAAGGGACTCGAGAGTGTCGTGTCCCCGATACTCGAACAACGCACATCACTCGATCCATCGTCGCCTTGACCAATAGCGTCAGTTTATCCGGAAATCCGTACCCGTGCATAATCTGCCATAGATATATACACAGCAAAAAAAGTTGTTGAATATTACATCGAAACTGCTGCAACCAGGTCAATCCATCGGTTGTGTAATATCACATTGTACGATGTACATCGATTTTGCGAACAAAATTACATCCATTGATGTAATATTGTATCTGCTTTTTGATATTACATCATTATTTCATTCATCAGCTTGAATTACGTTGATCGATATTACATTTTTTTTGCTGTGTAGCACTGCTACATTCATTTCATGCATTCATTTACATTCATTTGCCTCTAACTTTTTTCATCAACAGAATTCCGTAAAACGACGAATGAAGCTTTTGTAGGCTTTGATATTAACTACAACTTTTGTCATTAACTCAAATCTGTATCTTTCATACATGATGAATTAGAGTGGGCCGAATTTGTTATTGTTTTTCAGTGAAGTAATTTACATTCACTGAAAAACAATGGTGGGTGTTGAATCGGAAAGACAGCCAACGTTTATAAAGCTTTTAATAAATAAATAAGTTAATAAGATTAGAGTAAACAGCGTGGATTTATCGATCTCAATGAGCTTTTTTCAGCACCTAATTCGACAACCTGCTTTATTCAGCAGTGTACACAGTTATACCAACAATCAATACGAAACTAACGATTTTAAATTGGCTCACCACTTTAGTAGCCTATTGGTCCCAAGCAAACGATTAACGTACCCTATTCTTGTTTAAATTCTATTACTACACTATGTTTGTTTTGATACGCTATGAAAGTTTGACAGATAACATCAGGGGTGTGTGGATTCATGCAGAACATGCAGGGGTGAGTGAAATAGCTTGGGACTGCTTGGGACCGTTGTTCTGGTACTGAGTGAGCCAAAAATAATAATGATTTTCTTCGGGACCCAGTGGTCTTAGAGTTTCCTCTATGGTTATACCAACAATCAATACGAAACTATCGATTTTAAATTTACTCACTACTTGACTAGCCTATTGGTCCCAAGCAAATCGATTAACGTGTCCCATTCTAGTATAAATTCCAGTACTACACTATGTTTGTTTTGATTCACTATGAAAGTTTGACAGATAAAATGAGGGGTCAGTGGATTTTTCTATGATTCAAGGTGTGAATCGATTAGCTTGTGACCGAAGAGAGTACCAGAGCTGAACCATAAAGTTGAGCACATTTACTCGGGACCTACTAGTCTTAGAGTTACCTCTATGGTTATAGCATAGAGGTAACTCTAAGACCACTGGGTCCCGAAGAAAATCATTATTATTTTTGGCTCACTCAGTACCAGAACAACGGTCCCAAGCAGTCCCAAGCTATTTCACTCACCCCTGCATGTTCTGCATGAATCCACACACCCCTGATGTTATCTGTCAAACTTTCATAGCGAATCAAAACAAACATAGTGTAGTAATAGAATTTCAACTAGAATAGAGTACGTTAATCGTTTGCTTGGGACCAATAGGCTACTAAAGTGGTGAGCCAATTTAAAATCGTTAGTTTCGTATTGATTGTTGGTTATAGGTTATACCAACAATCAATTCGAAACTAACGATTTTAAATTGGCTCACTACTTGACTAGCCTATTGGTCCCAAGCAAATAGATTAACGTACCCCATTCTAGTCAACATTCTAGTACTACACAATGTTTGTTTTGATTCGCTATGAAAGTTTGACAGATAAAATGAGGGGTTATTGTATTTTCCTATGTTTCGAGGGGTGATTCGACTAGCTTGGGACCGAAGATAGTACCAGAGCTGAGCCAAAAAGTTGAGCACGTTTCTTCGGGACCTACTTGTCTTAGAGTTACCTCTATGATATTATCAAGCATTGCTAATGCTCATATAAAGAGGATTATGTGCATGAAACATTAGGAGTGTTGATTGAAGGCTTATAGCATTAGCAATTACTGTCTAAGGGCTTATTAACACTAGTAATGCTGAAATAAAGCCAATTAAAGGCTACATACTAATGCTTATGGTTACTTGGGGTTTCTTCGGGACCTACTAGTCTTAGAGTTACCTATATGGTTATATAGTATTTATTCAATATATATGCATATTTGTGACTCTGAATTGTTTGTTAGGATTGGCTTACAAAATCTTGAAGTTTGACACCCTTATTCATGTGTTCGAAGTGTTAATGGGTAAAAAAATACCCATTTTGAAGAAAAGTTGCTTAACTCATTAATGAGTAATTTTTCACCCATTAATGAGTATCTGTTACAATAGAAACTCATTCATGGGTAAAAATACTCATTAATTAGCTAAGCCACTTTTCTTCAAGATGGGTATTTTTACCCATTCATGTGTGCCTTCATGTAAGCGTGTACATTCTATCGAACTTGTATGCAACATTGGGCCGTATGAATAAAAAGAGTTTACTTTACTTTCCCGTGCTATTCTTACGGGAAAAGTAAAGTAAACGCTTTTATTCATACGACCTATTGTTTGTGGTTTGGAAAATCGCCAATAGCTCGTCGTCGTTGAAATGTCGTTAGTGAGATATTTTTAACGGAAATTTATTTAAAAAGACACATCTGTTTGTCTGTGATAAAACGCTTTCCACACTGAAACAAATCGACATGTACCGTTTACTGGATCCATCTTATAACATAGCAATGTCAGCAGATTTATTCATTCTATGTGATGATTGATAGATTCCATTGTATTATCACTTTAAAACTATGACTGCGATATGGAATGATTTCTATCGTAATTTCACATACTTTGTACTTGATAATACTTTGCTTCGAACGTGGTTAGCGATAGGTAAAAAGTATATGAATATTGTCTGATATATTTCTTGGTGAAAAATTGTTGATATGTCATGTTGATATATGTGGGAACAGACATCTAAAGAGCCTGAATTTATAAAGAGGCGACATCTTATCTATTTGACAGGTCTTCTGCTCGATTGGAATGACTTTTCCTATGACTTTGACAGACAATCGATTTTTCCAATTTTGACATGTCGTCTCTTTATAAATCCAGGCTCTTTACAGACATCTAGAAACTAATGGAAAATCATATAAGTTTGCATTATGAGAAAATTCAGTACAATATACCTGGTTTCATGATGAATATTGCTCACTAAAAGATATATCTTATAAGATAATCATGTATATTTTATTGAAGTTGCTTTTAACGATTTTTGACGTTTGTTGATATGTCGCGTGTAAACAGACATGTAGAAACTATTGGACTGTCATTTAACTTTGCAGTATAGGAAAACATGTATATCTCATATCTCATTGGAATAGCTTCCTTTGATTTTTGAGGTTCAAAGATTGTAAAAAGATTTATCCCAATCATTATATAGTCATATAGATTTGCCTTTTAAGAAGTCCAACAGCAAACATTTGTTTTGGCATGTTTTTCTGGGATGAATATCGCTCAAAATAAAATACATCTTACATGATTCCTTTTCATAAATTATTGACACCACCGAAACGGAACATAAATTTGTCAGTGCTATTTGTCTTCACTCTAGCAAAACGAGCATAAAGTTGCACTACATTCCATGTCGGGAGAGCTGTTCTTACTTCATGCTAATTGAACGAGCTCAATCTTGAAGTCAGCCGTGTCCCAGTGGAATCGAGCGCAGAAACCGAAAGCATCACACCTCAACAGTTCTTGATCGAATCCCAAATCAGCTACAATAAAAAAAAAGACACAACTGTGAAAGCTCCCACTGCCTGATGTTAATTTTTCGATTTATTTTTAGAAATCTATTAAATATATGTGTCAAAAGAAGAAGTAAATTTCATGTGATTTTCACATAAACTTTACTTCGATTGATTTATGACACATATATTATATTGTGGTGAAACGTAAAGCTTATGCTTATGGGTTTCAAATCCATTTCAGTTAATTATTATAATTTGACTGATTTTCATTTATCATATGACGATCATATAAAAGTTACCAAATTATCAGCATTGTAAATGTATCAGATATTCATATAGAATTTACCTGACACATTTTCAATCATATCATTTTCAATGGATTATCTTATAGCGCAAATTTATTAGATTCCCACATAACAGGAATATGTCAAATTGGTTCAGTGCAGCAAGATGAAAACACCAAAAAATCGTTTAAAATTACAGAAGATATTGCAAAAAATAGTGAAAAGGAGATTAAGGTTTGGTGCTCCAAAAGTTTAAAAAAATATCTAGAAAATATGTTCTATTCTGTTGTCCTGTTCTTATTTTTATCTGTGTAAACATACTTCGAAATCCATTCACTAAAGGAAAACTCGCTACGAAAGGAAGGGGTGTTCTAAAGTCATTCAAAATGAGCTACGTCTTTTATGTCAGCCCTCTAAAGGAAAACTAAAACGTTTGGCTCTAGAAAAGTGTTGCATAGTTGTGAACTCACTGGCAGAATTAAGACAGCAAAGTTTCATGACGTCAAAAGAATGTCCTGCCATGTACGTAAAATGACGTTCCGTGTACCCGACAACCCCGCCACCCCCAACCGGATAAAGTAAAATCGCACCTACACGAATGCATTTCACATTCTCTTTCTCTCGGATATGCCATCTTCCTGATGTGCTTCATCGGGAGAGACCGACGGAGAGAATTGTTTGCGTTGATAAACAGTAGATAGATGGATCCTACCAGTCATCCGTATGCCAATGTGTATACTAAAGGGCATAGGTAGTAGCATGCGATCGGTTCTGGGAGCTTTGCTATTCCCAACGTGCTGAGTGAGAGACTGACGGGAGAGAAAATAGGCGAGAGCAAGTGGTTGAGGAAAACTTAATTTTCATTCACTTTGGCAAAATTGGAGAATCGATATGTGTGTAACACTCGGTTGATTAGGGTGTTCTACGTTGAGGAATTTTTCGCTGCGTTGAAATTAGGCACTGCGGGTGGAAAAATGTGAATTTTCAGCACCTTTTCGAATTACGTTAATGTAGGGTTGGAAAATCTGTGTTGGATTGTGGAACAAATGTCGATTCGCGTCGGATAAAAGTGTGGAGCAGGTTGCATTGAAATCGGGTCGCGAGAAGGCAAGGAAAATTTCATCTATTATTGATCTGGGTGAAATTTGAAGCACGGGGTCCAATCGAGCGCTTCCTGTGAGCGTGTATCAATCAGACATTCGGATTAAATCTACCGATAACATCATTTGTAATCCGGAAATTCAGGAATATCCGTCAGTCCAGAACTGGAAAAATTGTACAACCTTAGAAGTTAGCTACGAAGTGGGTTCAAAATGCAGCCCCCACCACGAAAAGTAAGCTCCTTTTTAATGTGAGAGTCGTGAATGAGCCCAGCGAGACTGAGCGATGTTTAATGTGAATGGAACATGTCCAGACATTTGTGGAGTATTAATTACGGATTATGCTTTCTTTTACTACTTTTAGGGCAACTATACAAAATTTCTGAAGAATCTTCATTCGGAGCAGTTGGCAAAGCTTGCGTTGAAAAATCAAAATGAGTGCGAGCTACTCGAAGACATTCGACAGTTCACGCTCAAACGTTCGGCGATTGAAAAGTCATACAGCGAGGCCCTGCTGAAAATTTCGTCGGCGTATCTCAACAAGAAGCAAGCTTGTATACCGGAAATTAAAATGGACGGAGCTGAGGAGAAATGGTAAATGAATAAATTTTATGATAAAAATCCTAGCAGCAGCGACCTATGTTCCAAGATGAATGACTGGATATGGGAAGAAAACTTTTCGCAATGCTATTTTGTGTTCTGCTGCGAAACGAGCAAAAGACGATGAATGTGTTTAAATTGACAATTGTGTAGAACAGGGACCAACCAGGGATAAACCATGGAGCTCTAGTGGAACTTGTAGATACTTGGCAAAGGGTAATGAAAACTGTTCTTTTTACATTGACTTCATCAGATCGCTAGTGAACAAATTTATATATTATTCACCAAAAAATGGGTCGATATCAGATTGATGTAATAGTGTGTATTCTCTTCAGTGATAGATCCAAAGGCAAGTGTCAATTCATCAAGATTCGATCTTAAACTATTGACCACTTTGTCAAGCAGTTTCGGCGTGACTTTCTACCAGCGATTTCTTAAAACTGGACCAACTAATTGCTATTTTTTTTATGAAACGCACAAATCTTGCCTACTTTTCTCGTGGTTCTAGAAGAAAAAATCTCAAAATAATGTTTTATTTCAAAGTTCAAGTGGTAGTAAACGTCATTTTAACTGCTCGAATGAAGTGGTTAATTGTTAAAGGTTCTCTGAAATTTGATTTATTTTGAAAAATTTTGTTCGACGAACTTTTCACCTATGCGCACAATGATTTCTATACTTTTTTGATTATTTCGTCTTAAACACATTACATGAAAAACAATTGGCGTGTACATCAAATGTAAGTTTTGATTTCTTACATATTTTGCATATGTTTCTAACGAGAATTGAAATGGCAGGACTTACAGCACCGGCGCCGGCCACGTCCACACCTAAGACTAGAAGGTCCCGAAGAAACGTGCTCAACTTTTTCGCCCAACTCTGGTACTCTCTTCGGTCCCAAACTAATCGATGCACCCCTCGAAACATAGAAAAATCCACGAACCCCTCATTGTCAAACATTCATAGCGAATCAAAACAAACGTAATATAGTACTAGAATTTGAACTAGAATGGGGTAAGTTAATCGATTTGCTTGGGACCAATAGGCTAGTCAAGTGGTGAGCCAATTTAAAATCGTTAGTTTCCACCGGTTGTCCACACGGTCTTTTGTTTGGCAAGGGGAAGGATGATTAGTATGACAAACGTTGTTATAGAGACCGTGTTTACCTCTGCTTCTCACGATTGCCATTGGAAGGAAAGTTATGATAGTGTGGGTAAGGTTTCTTTTTGATCTAGATTCACTGTGGGAAAAGAAGCGATCGATAAAGCAGATTTGTTTATTTAAGTCTAATAGGGATAAAGATTTAGCACAGAACAGAAGGGGAGCTGCAAAGGAATCAGAGAACTTTAACTACAGACAAAAACATGCCTTCTGTCGCCAGGTGCGCTAGTGTTCTAGAATGAAAAATTCTCCACTTTTGGATTTGAAGTTTCCTTTATGTTCTGTGAAATGATACATAAAGACAAATACGAGGAAATGAACGGGCCTGGGATTGAACTCACGACCTTCTTTGCTCAGTAAGCAGAAACGGTAACCACTAAGCTAATGAGCATTCGTCTTGTTTAGTTGCTTAGCACTAACTTTTTTATTTAAAATTTCTCTTTATACTTTCTTATTACTTATTACTTATCTTGTAAAGCCATTTGAAGCTTCTTAAGATGCATGTTTTGTAGAAAAATGTCTGAACCTCTTTTTATACAGAAGTTATTCCTAATTATATTAAAAAAATAATGCATATAGTCAAATTAAATTCATACGCGTTCAAAAAATAACATATTTCTATTTTGTTGTATTATGTACTTCACGTTGAAATTTGAAACAAAAGATCTATGAAACTTTTTTTTTCAGTTGCATTCTAATTTAATTCTGAATAATTATTCAAAAAAGAAAACGTTAAGAGATAGATAATATGTTTCTTGAATAAAGTTGCTTGAAATTAACTCAACTACAAATCTGCTCATGGTAATGTCTTCAGTTTCAAAAAATAGTTTTTGAATATCAATTAATTTTAGGATTACCCTATTATTTACAAGCCTAATCATGATTGACCTCCTGTGGTTTTGGATTACTCTATTATTTCCAACCACCAACAGTAGGATATCTTAAGGTGAATCGCCTAATTTTGATCAATCTCATTACCACCTCAAAATTTCAAGAGCACAAATATCACCTCTCACAAAACATACAATAATGAAACTGGAACTTTACGTTTGCTGCACTATACAAGGAGTTTCAATTTCATGAGTGATGTCACAACAGCGCCTAAGATTTGTGCTCTAAAAATATTGAAGTGATAAAGACGGCCATTGTTGGACGCTTCAAGGAATCACCTTAAAGCGCAAAAAATTCACCGATGAACGAAACGTCTAGGATTATTTTCCTGCTATATTCCCATCCTGGATCACTATGAATTGGGCCCAAAATACCACAGACCAACTATATTTGAAAAGTTAGCTAAAATATATTTTACAAAATTATTTTAAAGGCCTTGTAGAACGCCTGAACGAGGAAACACTACAAATTCGGTATATGTTCGGTATATATCATAGAATCTTACATTTTAAATTAAGTTTCGGAAGGTGCTCGATGGGTGTTTAGAAAAGGCTAAAGCGAACTATACTGACTGAAGGTCCAAACTGGAATGATGTATTAGGTGTCCGGCCATTAGGCCGAAGGTCATTAGGCTGAATGGTCAATAAGCCTGTAAGAAACGGCTTACCTATAGGCTGCCTCGAGCAAGGGTACTTCCCCCAAAGTCAGTCGGATTAGGGTGAAAGAACAAAACATCAAGAAGGAATCAATTTTGGACGTCTATTAGCTACTAAGCTTTGTCCTCCTACTGGCTGTTGCTGCTGCTTTCGCTAGGCCTTTCGATGACGGTATGGTGGCGGTTCTGCTGCTACAAAGCATGGACTGAGCGGAGCAGTTTTCTTCTTCTTCTCGTGGTCCTTGGCAATTAGCGGGGAGTATGAGCAGGGCTCCTTTGTCAGGGCCCCCTCGGCGACGGTGATGACGAGCAACCGGCCTACCCACTCGCCGTAGGCAATCATGGGTAACACCGTAATGTCAACAATCAATACGAAACTAACGATTTTAAATTGGCTTACCACTTTAGTAGCCTATTGGTCCCAAGCAAACGATTAACGTACCCTATTCTAGTTGAAATTCTATTACTACACTATGTTTGTTTTGATTCGCTATGAAAGTTTGACAGATAACATCAGGGGTGTGTGGATTCATGCAGAACATGCAGGGGTGAGTGAAATAGCCTGGGACTGCTTGGGACCGTTGTTCTGGTACTGAGTGAGCCAAAAATAATAATGATTTTCTTCGGGACCCAGTGGTCTTAGAGTTACCTCTATGGTAATGTATCCTAGGTGGTACAACCAACAATCAATACGAAACTAACGATTTTAAATTGGCTCACCACTTTAGTAGCCTATTGGTCCCAAGCAAACAATTAACGTACCCTATTCTAGTTGAAATTCTATTACTACACTATGTTTGTTTTGATTCGCTATGAAAGTTTGACAGATAACATCAGGGGTGTGTGGATTCATGCAGAACATGCAGGGGTGAGTGAAATAGCTTGGGACTGCTTGGGACCGTTGTTCTGGTACTGAGTGAGCCAAAAATAATAATGATTTTCTTCGGGACCCGGTGGTCTTAGAGTTACCTCTATGGTACAACCATATAGGTAACTCTAAGACTAGTAGGTCCCGAGAAAACATGCTCAACTTTTTGGCTCAACTCTGGTACTGTTGTCGGTCCCAAGCTTATCGATGCACCCATCGAAAAATAGGAAAATCCACGAACCCCTCATTTTATCTGTCAAACTTTCATAGCGAATCAAAACAAACATTGTGTAGTACTAGAATGTTGACTGGAATGGGGTTCATTAATCGATCTGCTTGGGACCAATAGGCTAGTCAAGTAGTGAGCTAATTTAAAATCGTTAGTTTCCACCGGTTGGTACAACCTTCTATATCACCTACTTCGTCCTGCTTGACGATTAACTCCGGTGGCGAAACTGGCTATATTGTCTGAGCCACCGCAGTCAGGACGGCGAGTGTCTACCAGATCCCTTGTGGTCAGCCGGGGAAGTAAATAGCTCGATCGACGTAGTACGATCAACAATCAATACGAAACTAACGATTTTAAATTGGCTCACTACTTGACTAGCCTATTGGTCCCAAGCAAACGATTAACGTACCCTATTCTAGTTGAAATTCTATTACTACACTATGTTTGTTTTGATTCGCTATGAAAGTTTGACAGATAGCATCAGGGGTGTGTGGATTCATGCAGAACATGCAGGGGTGAGTGAAATAGCTTGGGACTGCTTGGGACCGTTGTTCTGGTACTGAGTGAGCCAAAAATAATAATGATTTTCTTCGGGACCCGGTGGTCTTAGAGTTACCTCTATGGTACAACCATATAGGTAACTCTAAGACTAGTAGGTCCCGAGAAAACATGCTCAACTTTTTGGCTCAACTCTGGTACTGTTGTCGGTCCCAAGCTTATCGATGCACCCATCGAAAAATAGGAAAATCCACGAACCCCTCATTTTATCTGTCAAACTTTCATAGCGAATCAAAACAAACATTGTGTAGTACTAGAATGTTGACTGGAATGGGGTTCATTAATCGATCTGCTTGGGACCAATAGGCTAGTCAAGTAGTGAGCTAATTTAAAATCGTTAGTTTCCACCGGTTGGTACAACCTTCTATATCACCTACTTCGTCCTGCTTGACGATTAACTCCGGTGGCGAAACTGGCTATATTGTCTGAGCCACCGCAGTCAGGACGGCGAGTGTCTACCAGATCCCTTGTGGTCAGCCGGGGAAGTAAATAGCTCGATCGACGTAGTACGATCAACAATCAATACGAAACTAACGATTTTAAATTGGCTCACTACTTGACTAGCCTATTGGTCCCAAGCAAACGATTAACGTACCCTATTCTAGTTGAAATTCTATTACTACACTATGTTTGTTTTGATTCGCTATGAAAGTTTGACAGATAACATCAGGGGTGTGTGGATTCATGCAGAACATGCAGGGGTGAGTAAAATAGCTTGGGACTGCTTGGGACCGTTGTTCTGGTACTGAGTGAGCCAAAAATAATAATGATTTTCTTCGGGACCCAATGGTCTTAGAGTTACCTCTATGGTACGATCGCCGTACTCGCAACGAACGGCACCGATGTTGAAAGCATCCGATGTGATGCCATTCAGAGAGACTCGGAACGTCCTGTCTGATAGATAGTTGTTTATTATCTTCCCTAGGAAGATTGGAAGACCGTACTACTGCAATTTGAACACCAGGCCATCATGCCAGACATTGTCGAACGCTTTTTCAACGTCCAACAACGCCATGGCAGATGTTTTCGAAACAGACTTGTTCCGTCTGAGAATGTTTGTTACTCGAGACAGCTGGTGGACGGTCGAACGACCGTTCCGGAAACCAAACTGTTCCTCGAGTAACAAGTTGTTTTCATCGGCAGATGTTAGGAGCCGGTGGTACACTGCTCTTTCGAACAGTTTTGATAACCCTGAGAGTCGATAACTTGAAGGAGAGGTCGGATCCTTCCCAGGTTTCCGGATGGGTATGACTTTAGCTGACTTCCAACACGAGGGGAAGTAGCCAAGTCTGAGGCACTGATTAAAAATCAGTGCCAGATGGTTGTAGAATCTGGAACTCAAGTGTTTGATTTCCAGATTTAGGATGTTGTCGAAACCTGGGGCCTTCATGTTTTTAGATGATTTGATATAGGCCAACAGTTCGTCAGCCGTAATCTCGGATACCTCTGGAAAAATGTTAAGAATCTGAAGAAGATTGGTTGCATCTTCAGCATCCTCAGATTCATGAGGGCTGACGATGTTTTGTCCGAGATTATGGGAGCTGACGAAGTGTTGACCTATCGCGGCAGCCTTCTCTTCAGGAGTATTCAGATCAACCGCCGGGACGATCCAGTGGGGTCAGTGGTGGAATGGGCCTAGGCTTGTTTTTAAGAATTTTTGTAAGTTTCAAGAAGGGCTTAGCACAATCTGGGAGAGAGCGGATCTTTCTAGCAAAATCGTTATTTCTGAGATCCACCATCCTGGCCTGAATGATCTTTGTTAATCGATTACAACTGGTCTTCAAGTTAGGCAGGCCAGTACGCTGGTACTGCCTACGAATGATGTTACGGAGTCTAATGAGATCTTTGGTAGGGCTGTCAAGGTTCAGAGTGTTACTCACCTGTCTGGATACTGGCACGTGTTGTTCCTTGTCCAGGAAATCGCCTTCTCGATGGTTTGTAGACACCGGTCAACATCTTCGGACGTCCCCGGTTGGACATCGTAGTCGATGGTTGTGTCGACGCAGTGTTAATATTGCGCCTCGTCAACACTCGATGGTAGTTGCACCGGGAAGCTTCGAATCGGTTTACCGAGGATCCAACTTCGGCCACCACCGGGTAGTGGTCCGAGCTCAGCTCCTGGAATGCCACAGGTTGCGAGATGTTGTGTCCCATGTTGCTTCCGAAGATGTCGATGACTCAACCGGGTGGAAGCGTCTGGGGCCAAGATGGTATAGTGGTCTTTATTGAGGATGATGCCGTTTCTATTGCTCCGACCGTTGCCCCAAGCTTGGTGTTTTGCGTTCAGATCGCCAGCGATGATAAAGTTCCCGCTCCTCCGGGTGAGTTTGATGATGTCTTTCCGGAGGGCCACTGACGACCCGTCCCTGATGTTGGTTTGCTTGGGGCAGTAGGCCGCGATGATGGTGATTGGGCCAAGTGATGTGCTCACCTCCACTCCGATGGCTTCAATTGTTTTCAGCTGGAAGTTTTGTAGCAGCCGGCAACTGATGTTCCGTCTTGCAGCGATTGCCACTCCTCCACCTCCAGAGCAGGTGCGATGAAATCTGGCGAGCCGGAAGTCGGGAAGGAATACGTTCAGTTCGGGCTTCAAATGCATCTCGGTGATGATAGCAATGTCGACCTCCTTGGTGTTGAGGAAATCGAGTAGCTCTCTATGCTTGTTCGTCAGTGAGCAAGCGTTCCAATTTGCATTTTTTTTAGCTTCACGGTCCATACTTGGTGACGAGTGACAAGGCAGCATGAAGCTGTTCAGATCGAGTCTTGCAGGTGCGCATGATGATGATGACCTCGGCCACGAGCGTCACAAGTTCCTCGGAGGTGAACGGAGAATCGTCGACAGATTCACCTGAGACAGCACCAGCGTATGATAAACCAGGGGCGGTGGATGAACCTGGAAGCGGGGCTAGGTTCGGAACATGTCGACGGGGCTGGAGAGCTGGGTACTGGACTTCCTTGAGTGCAGGAGGCGAACGATGATTACGGAGGCGACCGAGCTGGTTATTTATTGTGGCCTTCCGACGGATATTAATGAACTCCACTCGCTTGGGACATCCGAGATTGGAGGCTTGGTGGTTTCCACCGCAGTTGACACACGTCAGCTCGATGTCATCGACTTGCTCACAGGATGCAGTTGAGTGAGTTCCAGCACACTTGCCGCAGTTTGTCTTCATGTGGCAGTTTTTGGTGCCATGGCCATATGAGAGGCAGTTCATACACTACGTTACATCACGATGTTGGGGTTTGTAATGCTCCCAAGTGATGATGACCTGAAACAGGTCCCGGATTTTGGATCTCAGAGCCGCAAGACTAGTGGATCCCTTCGTGAAATGCACCAGGAACAACTGATCATGGAAGCTGGTGTTGTGGTTGGGCCGCCGGTTCATCGGGTACACTGCCTCAGGCTTGAGCCCAAACGGCTTCAGCTCGGATTTCACCGCAGTCGCCACGAACGACGGTAATCCACGCAAAATCACCTTCAGTGGCTTGCTCGATGGCAGATCATGCGTGAAGAAGTCCCTATTGTTGTCCTTCAGGAAACATCTTATTTGTTTGTACTCCTCCAGGCTGGAGCACATGATTTTGGTACCGATGCTGCAAAGCTTGAAGCGAGGCAGCAGCTTGTGTTTTGCCAGTTCGGCACCCAGCTTGGCAACATCCTTCATCGGCGTGAAAAGCGGGGGAATCCGTCACCATCGCCATTTTCTTCCGGGAGTACTGCAGCGACGTCATCCTGCGACGCACTGGGCTTGATTAGCACCTTCTTTGAAGGGCCCGCTGCTGACTCATTGGCACGTTTACTTACCATTTGTTTTGTGTTTGCAAGTTCAAGTAAACTTGCCAGAACGCGAGAAGGTGGCGACACTTCCACGGAGCAACGCGACAGCACAAAACGAAACAAAATTGAATCGAGAACTCGAGTGAAAATACGGACTGAACAGCTCGACAGTCGAGCAAAGAATAATGTAATGAACACTGGACAACAAACTTAAAGGCTAACAAATTAAAATATTCATCCCCGATGGGATAACCAATCGTCCTATACGGTGATCGAAACCAACTGATTATTTAATATTGTATAGCCCTTATTATTTCTCTGTATGTGTCTGAAAAGGGATATAAAATTAATACATCAATCTCTTACTTCCGGTGCAGGAACATGTGGAGCGTATGGCAAACAGTTTTGGAAGAGAACGAGAAGCTGGCACGTGCCCGTCTCGCAGCCGTCGAAGTATTTCAGCAGCAGATTGCCGACGAAGCTAAACTGTTACGAAACTCGAAGCTAAACACCAGCAAGAAATCTGTCGAACATCTCGGAGTAGTTCAGAAAGAACTTCAGCTCTCCGTGCAGGATGTCGATAAGACGAAAAAGTGTTACTTCGACGAAGAGCACTGCGCTCACGATGTCCGTGACAAGGCGAGGGATATTGAGGAAAAGTTGAAAAAGAAAAAAGGTTCATTTTTCCAGTCGATAACGTCACTGCAGAAGAACAGTGCTCGCGTGACCTCACGCAAGGAGCAGCTTGAGGAAAAATCAACCGGAGCCAGGAACGACTACATTCTCAGCCTGGCTTCGGCCAATGCACATCAAAATCACTACTTCACTATTGATCTACAGACTACGATGGCCACTATGGAAAATTACGTCTACGAACGGGTTGCTGACTATTTGGCACTGATTGGCCGTACCGAATTGCTAACCTGTTCGGCTACGCAGAATTCGTTTGGAAAGATTCGAGATCAGGCTCAACAATTGACGCGTGAGTACAATCTACAGTGTTGTTACCTGTACTATCCGGTGCTGAAGCAACACATTCAGTACGAGTTCGAAGCATGCGATAATGATCCGGTTAGAAAGATTACTGCGGATCATGAATCCGCCACAGAAACTTTAAATAAGGAAGGCAAACGTTGGGCTGGACGTGTGGCCCGCGAAAACAACGTTATTAGGGAAAATGCTCGTAAACTAGCCATATGTACGGCTCTGCGTGAAGCCGGTCATCGCACGGATCCTAACGATCAGAATGGGCCAGATCTGGAAACGAAGATCGATGAGTTTCGCGAAAACATTCGTAAAGCCGAAACCGCCAAGTGCAAGGCTGAGTCTCGGCTGGAGTGCCTAAGAATTGGCGGAATCAATGTGGACGAATGGCTACAGGAGGCAGAAACTCTCAGCGTACAAGAGATGCCACGCTCGGCAAGTTCATTGTCCATGCGCACTGATGCCTCAGGACAAGGGGTACGTAGAATGGATCAATTTGGAGAAAACGTCAAATAATTTGATTTTTCTTTTCAATTTTACTAGGAAAATCCAAGCTCTGATTCCTTCTACGATAGTGATAACGCTGAACAAGATCAACCAATGTCAGAATCTTCACCGGCTCCCAAGCAGCCAGAACCACTAGCCGAAGAATTTGCTCCAGACAGCGATGAAGATGAAGGTTTGTTGATATTGGCTCTCTGAACATAAAGACTTGAACTTTTTTTAAATTTGATTCTCAATTTTCAGACTTCGAAGTTGAACAAGAACGCCAGAAGATCGAACAGATTTCTCATGAATGGGACGATCCAATTCATACAGATTGGGGAGGTGAGGAAGCTGCCACGGCTGAAGACAGCCTTCCTCCGCAACAGCCCACAGCACAGACCTTCAAATGCACCGCACTATACTCATATACTGCACAAAATCCAGATGAGCTGACCATAGTCGAGAGTGAACAGTTGGAAGTGGTTGGAGAAGGCGATGGTGACGGTTGGCTTCGGGCTCGGAATTATCGTGGCGAGGAAGGCTTCGTGCCGCATAACTATTTGGATGTGGAGAGAGACACACCGGTGGACACCCACACTACAGCTCAGCTGTCGACGCAAATCTCATTCTCTTCCGTCGATTACACGGTAGACAACGAAGATCAGGACCAGATGCAGGATTCTGGGCAGTCACCAGATCAAATTTCTGTTATCTCAGCACCGAGAAAGGTTCATCAAATGTACTGCATTGCATTGTACGACTATGATGCTACAGCAGAAGACGAGCTCACCTTCGAAGAAGGACAGGTATGTTACCGAAGATATGTTGGAATCGTACCGTATGGACAATGAACATCTAATGGACTTAAATAGTCAAAACCAAAGGTTTTATATTTTTCTTGCATTTTCCATTGTTTCATTTTTTTGTTATATAAAATAAGCATTTTTTAATTAATCTATTATGAGTATTACTATCATTTCTTTAATTACGTTTACTTAATACTTGCGTACCGTTTACTCAGTGCATAAGAGCAGTCACGATTTTTGCCAACATTAGTGAAATTTGACACATTTTTAGTAAGTCTCAACGGCCGTGCAGAACACAGGAAACTAGCACTACTGTGTTAACTGTCTTATAACGAATATACGTTGTATACGAGTACCCCAAATACAACGTAGAGTTCGTCTAATTTTACATTGCAAATGCTATGCAAAATTAGACGAGTCATACGTTGTATTTGGGGTACTCGTATACAACGTATATTCGTTATAAGTCAGGTAACACAGTAGCACTATCCTTCCCATATAGTTTAAAGGGTGATACGGTCAAAATTTGGTCAATATCAACTTGACGTATTTCTTTCAATTTTGCATTTAAAAAACCTGAACACCCCTCATTTTGAAGGTGTGTGTGTGTAGAATGTTGCTCCTATTTTGATTTTGGAATTCACTCTTCAGTTGTCAAAATGCCGTCCAAGCAATAAGAGCAGCGTATCAAAATTTTGCTCGCGCATCGCAAAAATCCGAGCTACTCGCACGCAAAGTTGGCAAAATCGCTAAAAGTTGCCAAATCAACCGTTACAAATGTAATTAAAGTGTTTGGGGAACGTTTGTCGACAGCCAGGAAGTCTGGATCGGGGGGAAATCGAAAACCGGAAGCCGCTGAGACGACAAAGGGAGTTGCCGGTAGTTTCAAGCGAAACCTTAACCTCTCTCTCCGAGATGCCGCAAATAAGCTGGGTGTATCGTCTACAACCGTGCATCGAGCCAAAAAACGAGCCGGACTATCGACTTACAAGAAGGTAGTGACTCCAAATCGCGATGATAAACAAAATACGACGGCCAAAGCGCGATCCCGGAGGCTGTACACGACGATGCTGACGAAGTTTGACTGCGTGGTAATGGACGACGAAACCTACGTCAAAGCCGACTACAAGCAGCTTCCGGGACAGGAGTTTTATACGGCAAAAGGAAGGGGAAAGGTAGCAGATGTTTTCAAGCACATGAAACTGTCAAAGTTCGCAAAGAAATATCTGGTTTGGCAAGCCATCTGTACCTGTGGCTTGAAAAGCAGCATTTTCATAGCTTCCGGGACTGTCAACCAAGAAATTTACGTGAAAGAGTGTTTGAATAAACGTCTGCTGCCTTTCCTGAAGAAACACGGTTGTTCCGTACTGTTTTGGCTGGATTTGGCATCTTGCCATTACGGTAAAAAGGTCATGGAGTGGTACGCCGCCAACAACGTGCAGGTGGTTCCCAAGGACAAGAACCCTCCCAACACGCCAGAGCTCCGCCCAATTGAGAAATACTGGGCTATTGTCAAGCGGAACCTAAAGAAGACCAAAAAACTGCTAAGGGCGAGCAGCAGTTCAAGGCAAACTGGCTTTCTGCGGCGAAGAAGGTGGACAAGGTGGCTGTACAAAATCTGATGGCAGGGGTCAAGCGTAAGGCCCGGCAATTCGGATTTGGAAAAGCGGAAGCCTAACTGAATATTTTTCCTGAATTTTATACTAATTGAACTTGAAAAAGAAATTTAATTTGATTTTTTAAATAAACGATTTCACCGATTTACACGCGTTTTCCCTTGACCAAATTTTGACCGTATCACCCTTTACTAGCTATATTGTACCATGCTCCTGTCGTAATGGAAGCTTTCCGTAAGCAAAAATGCCGTCTGATCGCCTCAACAATTTATCTTCATGAACATCAAAAAGCTTTTCTCATCTATTTCTTCAAAAAGAATATAACTATGTATCACGCTTGTGCTTTCTTTTCACTTTTAACTATTAACATATGAAATCAAACAATCCATGAGTCACGATTTGGCTTGTGTAAAATTCTGTTTGATAGCTCTCTCTCTACCAGTCGAACAAAATTGATTTATTGATTATGATTCGTGAGCGTTCACGAATCATAAAATCGGTGATGGTGACGCATTGAAAGCAATATTGAAAGGGTTGATGTGTCAAACACATACTTTACAACTTCTTCTTGTAACTTAAAAGTACTAATTACCATTATAATATCTAGTGATTTAATAGCTCTGAAACTATTTTTTATAGCAAATGAGTGAAAAACTGATGATGTATTTTGGCTCAAGTTTGAATTCTCATGTAATTTGATGTTTCGCATGATGAGTTATAACTTATCCCAGTTTCTAGACACATCCGTCCTTGGCCTGCTCCTTGGGTACTGTAACATGTCCGGGTGTGGTCAATGTGTGATCAATGGCACAAAGTTTGACATCTATAGTTTGACCAGGCATGGAAAATCATTTGCATCCATTTCGAGCATTCATTTACATTCATTTACCCCTAACATTTTTCATCAACAGAATTCCGCAAAATGATGGATCGAGCTTTTATAGGTTTTGTTATTAGCTTAAACTTTTGTTAAAAACCAAAAACCGTATCTCTTATGCATGACGAACCAGAGCAAACAGAATCCACTACTGTTTTTCAGTGAATGTACTTTACATTCACTGAAAAACAGTAACAAGTTCTGCCCGCTCTAATTCGAGATACAGATTTGAGCTATTGGCAAAAGTTGTAGCTAATAACAAAACCTACAAAAGCTCGATACATCATTTTGCGGAATACTGTTGATGAAAAAAGTTAGGGGCAAATGAATGTAAATGAATGCATGAAATGAATGTAAATGATTTTCCATGCCTGAGTTTGACTGCCATTTTCTTTTCGAATTCTTATTCGATTTGATGTGTGTCACATATTAATAGGTTTGTTTAAAAATATTCAATTCCGTAAGCAAAAATGCCATCTGATCGCTCCAACAATATTTACTAGACTCAAATTCCCTTTGGGGGCGTAGGATCCAGATTGTAACTATGGAAATAGAAATTTCATTTGGGAGTAACAAAATGCAGTGATATGAAATGCGCTTGTGTCAAAATACAGAGAAATTCCGGAGTGATTTGAGATTTGGGCGTAATTGCTTTTGTAAACAAACACGTCAATCGCCGATTTCTCGAAAATAAAAGCTCATTTTCGTAAACAAGCTATGCCAAATGATAAAGGAACAATTCCTCTAGCTCGTAGAGTTATTAGATTTCAAAATTGAGCTTTCATTCACGGAAATCGGCGATTGACGCGTTTGTTTACAAATGCAATTACGCCCAAATCTCAAATCACTCCGGAATTGTGAACATTCGAGCTGATTTGAAATATAGGGATTTACATGAGTTTAGAAAATACCATGACCTGATGTATGGTAAAGTACCCGGAAAAAATAAGTTAAAGAAGTAACTGTGTACCATTTGGTGAATTTCCACTTAAATTTGACAGATAGAAAATTTTCAAATAAACCTGCTATTGTACCAGACGTATTTTTGACAGACTAGGAATCAATTTTGACAAACACCTTCTCGAAAATCAGAAGACCAACAAGAGGGGACTTTCGAACAGTATAATTTATTTTCGAAGTGTCAAATTTAAGTAAAATTTCACCAAATGGAACACAGCCTTAGTAGGCTCGTCATAGGATAAGGCCGTCTTCCATTTGGTGAATTATCACTTAAATTTTACACTTCGGAAATAGATTATAATGTTCGAAAATCGTTCTGTTATGGATCGTTCGGTTTTCAAGGAGGTCCTTTTTTATTTAACGTCGGTCTCTGTTCCGCAATCTAGTGCCAATCAAATGTGCAGGAAGGCAACTTCCACACCTACGTAGGATATCGCACCCATTTCAACGCACATGGCCCGGGACCAACGGCTTTACTTCCCTTCCGAAGGAAGACGTGACCAGAGATTTTTATGCCTCAGAAAAATCCCACCGACCTCGGCTGGGATTGCACCCAGAGACCCATTGGGGTGAGAAAGCAGTCACGCTTACCACTACACCACCCGCGCCGGCTTTTTCAAGGAGGTTTATGTCAAAATTGATTATTTGTCGGTCTGAAGAAAGTGTGGTAAAATAACAGGTTTATTTGAAAAATTTCCATCTGTCAACTTTAAGTGAAAATCTGTGAGGGAGAGGCAGACTCGAAAAATATGAACATCAAAACATTTAGTGGCATATTAAAACACAGAACAGAAAAGTACATGTTCTCACTGCACACTGGACAATCTCAAACAATCACTACACGCTCAAAGCAAAACAGGCTATTTTGCTACGCCTATTTGGATTTGATTTGAATGGCAAAAAATTTCATAACAAGAACAACAGAATACTACTTTGTCGTAATCGCTCATTTCCGTTCTATCGATCAGAAAAGATCAATAATAGCTTGCTTGAGCTTGAGCTTGATTGACCGCCCCCGGTTGCTACTCTGTTATTGCCAGATCAGCTGTAATTACACAGAGAACCAATAGACGATGCTTGGGACTAGCAATCATCCTCAATGTGTAAAAACTGGTGATCTTAAATTAGGCAATACCAGCGCCGGCCCCGCCCGAACACAGGTCAAGAAAGGAATGGGAAGGACTGTGTTGACATGACACTCGCTTTGATGGAAGCCGAGAAAACCTCTGCTCTTCCACGAGGAATCACTGAGATGTTGGATAAGAGGGTTGGGTTTGCAGCAGGGTTCGTTTTGGTAAACGATAAGCTGAATCGATGTCTTAACGATCATATAACGCGAATGAGCTTGGGACTAAACCCACGGTCTTCTGCTCAGTAAGCAAAAACGTTTGCCACTAGGCAGACGAGCTCCTTTTTAATCATCGAGTTGCTGTTATTACCATGTAGTCATGTTAACAAATAAAACGATTGACGAATCTTGAATGTGGATGGGCCTGAGATTAGAGTCATGATATTCTGCTCAGTAAGCAAAAACAGTTGCTCTAAGGCCACCGAGCCCCTCATATCACATAATACCGTTGCTCAAATTTTTGTATCCATTCAAACCCGGAACCAACGACAACAACGAGTTTCGCAAAATACACGATACACAAGCGGTTTTACCATAAATCTCTTTGATATGTAAGGACCTGGGACCGCGTTTTTCTGCTCAGTAAGCAGGCCACTGTAACCGACGATCTTTCAAATCCGAAAACTAAAAACTACGAAAAAGTACTTAGGCCTTCATTAAGTTCCACTTTCACGCGACGTTCAATGTTTCAATTTGCTCTTTACGTATTGTTCAGGCTATAAATAGGCTCTTTTCAAAAGTTACGCGAGAAATACGCACAATCGTCGCCTACCTCGCAAAACTGGTTCCAAACGACAACAAAGGCATAAGCAACGATGGATTGTTGAACTTTGCTGGCTGGTGTAGTGCTGTTGCGGCATACTATTTTGGGAATGTATATGAGCGTGTACCATGTATGGTAGCTCATCTCTCATCGTGATGGTGGGACATAGTAGACAAATTAGAGAGAAAACAAGGAGGTATTAGTATTAGTTATATGTAAACAAACAAAACAAAAGAAGAGAAGAGGAAAGAAGAGCAGACAAATAAAAAAGGGATGAAGTAGATAACAAATAAAAGAAACGTAGGTAGATTATAAGAAAAGGCATTATCCGAGACTCGGCAATCAAATGTCACTCCCGCCGAGATCTCAGCGAAACCCCCTCCCCGCCGAGACCCGCACAGCCGAGCTCGGTAGAAAAAACTAAGTGTGTAGATAGATTAGTAGGAAAATAAATAAAACTACTTTATGACTCAAAGTGCAATGAATGAGCGTTAGTTTCGGGATCATTTCAGTGTTAGAGTTATGTTAGTTTTGATCCGTAATCAGCCATGCTGACCCCTCCAACATTAGTTGCAGGCAGTGGTTGTTAGATAATGCGGCACTGTAACTACTACTATTTTAGTGGTATGATTCGTCAAGTTTATACAACTCAATGTTTCAATTGAGCCAATCTATCTATCTTACAATTACAAAAGCAAACCTAAACTTACAATTATATGCAAATGCAAAATGAAACTTGGCAAATCATCGTCAATCCCCTTATTACAGGGCAGGGCCTGACGATTTGAATCTAATTTAATTTTGATCAGTGAACGGGCACCATATGGTACATTTTCTCAACATGAACCTATCATTTCCAGCCTATCTGAACTATTTAATAAATGGAAGCCATAACATGGGTTACGCTCCCCCTAGGCGGGCCCTCCGCATCCTGTCTCTGTCTTATCTCAAATACAAAATGCCAATGGTATGAATGTATCTATATAGGGGAATTTACGTATTCTCGTCAATCTAAGCAGCGTCCGCACTTCTATTAGCATATTCACAGCGTCACGCACATATATGACGTGTCTGTTTGTTTCAATTCATCTGCTGCTTGCTTCTCTATCCATTCCAATCGACAGAATTCTTCAAAACTGTTTGAAAGCGTTTTTACAACGCTCTAAACTTCTCAGGTGAGTGTGACTATTGTCGGCAGCCTCTTTTTCTTCGGCAACCTTCCCATTAGAACTGCGTGTTAACCAGCTGTTCTATTATCGGCAACTCGAAATCAGCCCCATTTTGTAGTACGTATGCTTGATTTGAAGAAAAATCTGGCATAACAGGATTGCTCGGTCCTACAAATATAATCAGATTGAAGCTGAAAGACTAAAGAATCATTTGGATACATTCAGGGAAGTATGTTGATGGTAAAACATAGTGAAATTAACGTTTAAATTTTGGTTGCCGAAAACAGTCAATAGGTGCCGAAGCCGACATTTACCCTATATTGGTCAGGCTTCAGAATCGTCCAGTGGGCAGTGCGCTCTACACTCCAAGTTACCTTTTTTCAAATTTACCGCAAATTTGATATTTTACCCATTGAGTGTTGATTAGTCACAATGAAACATTGTGACAGAAGTTGAGGTTACTAGTGTATTAAATAATCTAGGTCCTATTTAGGATTATATCTGAAAAATCAAAATCTGGCCAACGCCCACCCTAAACCTAAACCTGTTCTAATCCACCTGAAATGACTAACGAATGGAAGACTTTGACTACCCAGCCATGCAATAGTCTCATTCCGTGCCTTATGACAACTTGATGATTCTATTGCGCTCATCTTCTTGCACCACCCAGGGGAGACTTGGTCCTGTACCCAATGCTTAACTTATCTCCTTTCCACTCAGCTACTCGCAATTTCTTGTGATATAGTGGGCGGAATATTATTATATGAGACAATTCAATGCAGACGTCTTTCCAAATTTGGCAGATCGACAGGTAATCGGTGAGTTACCACGATAGTTGCTATTCAACAACTCGACAGCGTCCCAGCGTCAACGCCTGCTATGAGAATTTCCCATTGCAGACGCCAACGAAATGACGTGATCGAGCTATCGATGAACTACCCTGGTTATCGCCTGGTACCTTATAGCACGATGCTAGGAGGCGAACCGGAAGAATCGATGAGCTACCTCCCCCACAATCAGAAAAGATCAATAATATCAATGATTTACCATGCACAAATCAATAATAGGTTTGTTCCGATGCGTTAGTTAATTAGCTACAACATAAATCCTATTAGAGCTCATTGTATAAATATTTACGCTTATTGTTCTCAAAACAAAAGAAGCACTTCTAGCGAATCCCCTTTGTCTACGTTTATCCGTAGAACGAAGCAAATCTAATGGCGTTTCAATGCGTTAGGACGGAATTGACAATCGTAGAACGAATTTAGAATCAAGAAGCAGTATTAGATTTCAAACCATATCTCGACAATTTGCGACTCTTTATCAAATCCAACGGTACATATGGAAAGGTGAATAAATTTAGAAGCCATATTTGACAAAAACATTACATTTTTGTGCAAAGATAACCCGTTCAAAGAACTTTTTCTTTGTTAGGTAAAGCGCGAATTGTGCTTAGTAGGACGGAAATTGGATCAAAACCCCTATATGAGCAAGTCAAACGCACACTTTTTTGCCTGTAGATTTGAAGACATACTTCAAATCTCCTCGTACATCGTACGAGTTAGGTAAATAATTGTGCGTTTGACTTGTACTCAGGCTTGCAATTGCTCATTACAGCTAAAATGCTAGTTTTCGTAATTATGAAACTATGGGATACTATAATGATAACTTTTATTTGTTAGAAGCAAGAAGAAGTGGTAAAGTTTGTGTATGATATATAAAATTTGTCAATTTTGCTTTCAGAAGGTCACAACTAGCGATTTTATGATCGCTGATTGCTCGCTCATCGCGTTGCTCATCGTTACAGCTAATCGCTAGTTGTGACCTTCTGAAAGCTAAATTGACAAATTTTAAATGTCATACACAAACTTTTCCACCTCTTCTTGCTTCTAACAAATAAAAGTTATCATTATAGTATCCCATAGTTTCATAATTACGAAAACTAGCATTTTAGCTGTAATGAGCAATTGCAAGCCTGCTTGTACTGTCGCATTAATTACCCTTCGCTCATTTTCAACTTCTATTCACTTTTCATACTGCCGTTCTCTAACGGAACTATCTACTTACCCTCTTCTAAGACCATTCTCTAGCTAATAAATTATCACACCAAAGCTTCATGTTAGATAGCATTTCCAACCAAATCTGAAAATCGCAAACTTTACGTATGAAGTAAGAAAACAAGCTGGTCTGGCAGAAATAAGTCTGGTGCAATAGTAGGTTTATTTGAAAATTTACGGTGAACATTCCGAATAAGATAGGATAAATCTGATCACGCCTTCCATCGGAAGGGAAGTGTCGTAACCTCTATCTTTTCTACTTTCCTCCATTTATTTAACGAAAACTCGGACACATACGTCTGTTACTTTCAATATTAGCAGAGTGAATATTATCTGTTTGAATTTCATATCTCTGTAATCCCGAAGGCCAGTACCGTTTTCCGAAGCCTTATCTATTTCGTCCCATGTTACATCCATGCATCCCGCATCTAGTGCATAGAGGACATGATTCTCGTCGTTTTCCTCAAACGGTATCGCTGGTTGAGGAAAAACGGGACAAATATAGTCACATGCTACTAGAAGTAAAATACTCTGTTTCGTGAGAATATTTTAAGATGATTTCAAACGGAGATGAACTAGCCTACGGCTAAAAATCTCTTAAATTTAATAACAAATACACAATTTAAAACATGTTTTACAAGCATTGTCTAAAGTAAACCTCAATTTAAAATAATAGCAACACAGAAAATAAGAAATGCAGTTGAAAAGTCACGGTAAAGAACTTCATGGGATGGGTCAAAGTTGTAAAGCACGAATATTGTTAATCCTATCCTTATCCAACAGCAACAATATTAATCAACTGATGTCCAAATGTTATCTATTGCACATTAACTATATAAGTACACATTACTATCTCCACAGATAATCAAATTAATCACCAAGAGCCCCCATGGAGTGGACGATGGATGGTGGGAAGGCGATCTGAATGGTAAAATTGGAAACTTCCCGTCGCTAGTGGTGGAGGAATGCGACGAAAATGGTGAACCGTTGACCGAACCGGAAGATGAATCTCCCCCGCCATCTGCGCCTCCTTCTATTGCAGCACCTGCGCCACCGCCCATGGTTCTTCAGGAGGCTACCCCTCCGGAGGGTCAGAGTCCAAGTACGTCCCGGAAACAACACTTCCTGTTTGATCTCTGAATAAATTTGTGTGGTTTCAGCTTTTGACAGCCGAAGCTCCGAGCCGGTGGTCGATCGGTTTGAATTTGAGCTCAACAATGATCAACACGACAAATATGGATCCCAGTTCTCGGCACCTCCACCGTCGCAGCCACCTCCAGGTATGATAGAACCGTAAGAAAGCTTAAGGATATGTTTTATGCTCATTCTTTATCTTAACATCGTCGTTTTTATGCTGCGCAGTAGTAATATGTGAGGAACCTGAGGTAATGTATACATACCTACCTACCAATGTCGCATTGTTCTTTGGGTAATGAAAATGCACATTTTCGATGCAACAGTATGGTTCCAAATTACTTGACACAAAAGGGGGTGAACAGAGTGAACTTTAGTGTGGAATCTCATTACGGTTTGTTATAAGTGGAGTTCGAGAGTGCTTCACGGAAACGGATGTTACCCCAAAGCGAGTAGCGTGAAATGCTTGCCAGACTGAGCACTTATAACACGTTATAAGCCTATCTTGATGACATTTTTCTTGTCGATAATTATTATGACATTTTGTAATTTTATTTTCTGTAGTATTTTGCATTTCTAACTGACTCCTCAAAAGTGCGTAATCGCTAATAAAAATGCGCTTTTTCGTTGTATCGTCTTGGTGTCTCCTGCGAATTTATTCCTCATGAACCAAGGAAAAGATGCCCAAATCAATGTTGTAAAGGGTGATACGGTCAAAATTTGGTCAATATCAACTTGACGTATTTCTTTCAATTTTGCATTTAAAAAACCTGAACACCCCTCATTTTGAAGGTGTGTGTGTGTAGAATGTTGCTCCTATTTTGATTTTGGAATTCACTCTTCAGTTGTCAAAATGCCGTCCAAGCAAGAAGAGCAGCGTATCAAAATTTTGCTCGCGCATCGCGAAAATCCGAGCTACTCGCACGCAAAGTTGGCAAAATCGCTAAAAGTTGCCAAATCAACCGTTACAAATGTAATTAAAGTGTTTGGGGAACGTTTGTCGACAGCCAGGAAGTCTGGATCGGGGGGAAATCGAAAACCGGAAGCCGCTGAGACGACAAAGAGAGTTGCCGGTAGTTTCAAGCGAAACCCTAACCTCTCTCTCCGAGATGCCGCAAATAAGCTGGGTGTATCGTCTACAACCATGCATCGAGCCAAAAAACGAGCCGGACTATCGACTTACAAGAAGGTAGTGACTCCAAATCGCGATGATAAACAAAATACGACGGCCAAAGCGCGATCCCGGAGGCTGTACACGACGATGCTGACGAAGTTTGACTGCGTGGTAATGGACGACGAAACCTACGTCAAAGCCGACTACAAGCAGCTTCCGGGACAGGAGTTTTATACGGCAAAAGGAAGGGGAAAGGTAGCAGATGTTTTCAAGCACATGAAACTGTCAAAGTTCGCAAAGAAATATCTGGTTTGGCAAGCCATCTGTACCTGTGGCTTGAAAGCAGCATTTTCATAGCTTCCGGGACTGTCAACCAAGAAATTTACGTGAAAGAGTGTTTGAATAAACGTCTGCTGCCTTTCCTGAAGAAACACGGTTGTTCCGTACTGTTTTGGCCGGATTTGGCATCTTGCCATTACGGTAAAAAGGCCATGGAGTGGTACGCCGCCAACAACGTGCAGGTGGTTCCCAAGGACAAGAACCCTCCCAACACGCCAGAGCTCCGCCCAATTGAGAAATACTGGGCTATTGTCAAGCGGAACCTAAAGAAGACCAAAAAAACTGCTAAGGGCGAGCAGCAGTTCAAGGCAAACTGGCTTTCTGCGGCGAAGAAGGTGGACAAGGTGGCTGTACAAAATCTGATGGCAGGGGTCAAGCGTAAGGCCCGGCAATTCGGATTTGGAAAAGCGGAAGCCTAACTGAATATTTTTCCTGAATTTTATACTAATTGAACTTGAAAAAGAAATTTAATTTGATTTTTTAAATAAACGATTTCACCGATTTACACGCGTTTTCCCTTGACCAAATTTTGACCGTATCACCCTTTAAGCGGTCACTGTGGTCAACGCATTTTCTGTGGGCTGCCTTTCTGACACAAGTTATCAAAGTACAGTACAGTACGAAACTAAAATATCATATTATTACAGTCAATCTCTGCCATACTATACTGTCGTCGAACACACTGGGGGTTATTCCGAGTGTCGAAGTGACTCTCCATTTGATTTGCACAGAGAGTCACGTCACCACGACGTAACTTTTCTTACTTCACTAGTGACAAAAGTCACTTCGACTCTCGGAAGAACCCCGACTTAGCTTTGTCTACCAAGCTTAGCTGTGCAAATCTCGGCAAAAGAGGTTTTTCTGAGATCTCAGCTAATATTTCATTTGTTTGCTGAGATTCAGCTAAGCATTATCCGAGACTCAGTAATCAAATGTCATTTTTGCTGAGATCTAAGTGAAACATTTTTTTTGCCGAGATTTGCACAGCCGAGCTCGGTTGAAAAAACTAAGTGTGAAGACCGTCACATAATTATGTACTGTAGTTTTACTCATAATAAGAGCTGCCATAATGTTGTGCTTGTGTGAATTCTGAAATTAGCCAGTAATGATGTTCTTGTACATTTCTGATCAGAAATGGTTTAATTTACACAACATTGAGGAATAAGAACGAAGTCACACATTGTCATATTATAGTTATTTGATAATTTTCTTGTTGCTCGAATATTGTTCTACCGTTTGTGTTTTGTGTGAGAGACGACGGTAGAGCACAGCGCTTGCAGATATTATACCGATTTTCAAACTTGATACCGATATACAGATAAAGTTTCTCAGAATACCGATTTTTGAGTTTTAATACCGATTTGTACCGATTTTAATTAATAATAATCACAATGATTACTGTCTGCCCGCACTGAATTGTCAGATGAAACTATTGTGAGAGACATTTATCTTCTTGAAAATTAAAACTTTTGAACCTGCACACTTAGAAAAATTCATGTAAATTTAGGTGTTCTGAGAGTGAAATATACGAGCCTCAATTGTGACATAAATGTACGTCATAACAGACGCGAAATATAGCTGAATCAAACGTACTTTTCGTCGAGCAACGCATTTTACAGTCTCGGAACACTTAATATTAAATGACCTGTTTGTTTACGTCTCATCTTTAATGTCAAAGATGGATTCCATCACGTGTAAAATTAGTTATTTCTAAGAGTGTGCTCTAAAAAAAATCATTTTCCAAAATGTCTTATGCTTGATACTCTTTCGACTAATACTTACATTTCCACGCGTTTTTGTTTACCAAGGAGTCGAGAAACAGCTGCTAGTTTATCCCAATAATTTCTGGAAATCGTGTGGAAAAATAGGCCCATAAAAACTTTATTTTTTTGACTACCTGAAATTTCTTTGAAGTTTCTTGCAACTTTCCCTAGGAATTTCCGTTCACCTTACCCTGCCCTGTAAGTTATTTCCGATTCCTTCCGGAAAGCTATTTCGACTTCCCTTGGAAGCTTCTTCTGGTTTTGCTCGAAAAGTTCTTGCGTCTCCTCCCGTCAGGTTTTTCAACTTCCCCGGGAGTTCAGAAATGCTTTCAGAATTTTTTGCGGTTCCATTAGTTTTAGGAAAACTTCAGGAACTTTTCAGAAGTTCTGAAACTTCAGAATAGTTCGGACTTTTGGGTAGGTTCTGATAAATTATAGACAGTTTCATTAACTTCTGTTCAAATCCAAGAACGCGGGAATCTCAGGAAAGCCCAGAGAACTCCAATGAACTTAAGGAAACTGAAATATTTTGGAAACTTCACAAGCCTAAAGAACTTTAAAGAAATTTAATGGTTTTCAGGATTGTTCCATTTGTTTCAGGAGAATTGAGTTAACTTTAGGGAAGCTTTGAGAACATAAGGACATATAAATTCAAGGAAATTTCTGAACCTTTAAATGAGTTCCGAGAAACTCAGACAATTTCCAAAAACTTCAGTTAAGGTCCGAGAGGTTCATGAAAATTTTGGAAACGTAAGGGAAGTTACATGAACATTAGAAAAGTGTAAGAACATTTTAAGGGAAGCTCTGTGTTTTTTATCGGCAGTTTCGAGAACTTTAAAAAAAATAAAAAAAATTGGGATGTTCAGAGAACCTTCCAGGTATTTTCCCATCTTCTCCTTGAAGTATGTTTCGACTGTTTCGTAAGCCCTCTTCGACTTTTTCCATAAGTTTCTTCCAATCTACCGTAGGAAGTTTCTCCCAGTGTCTGCTGGAAGTTTCTTCCGTCTTCTCCAGGAAGTTCAATTAAAGTTCTACCGGATGTATCTATCGAGTTCCCCTAGAAGTTTCCTTCGTCTTCCTCTGGAAATTTCTCCATAAGTCACTCTCCGTAGCTTTTTTCCGACTTATTGTGAGGTTTTTCCGAGCTTCTCCTAACTTCCCCTGGAAATGGCTCCTCCGAGATTGGCTTCCAAACTTTTCTTGCTTCTGGATTTTTTTTTACGATAGTTTCTAAAAAATTTTGCTAGAAGTTTCTCAATATTTATCTTGGAAGATCCCCATCGGATGTTTTTTCGACATCTTCTAGAACTTCCTTCAAAAATCCTAAACACGAGATTTCCTTTGTTCTTCCTCTGGAAGTTTTGTCGGTACCATTAAGAGAGTAATTCAAATATTTCCCAAAAAATTCTTCCGACTTACATCGAAAGTACATCCGTTGATTTTAGTCCAAAAGTTTGAAATAATTGAAAATTAATTAAAATAGTGAATACCGATAAATATCGATTTTTTAATCATTTGATACCGATAATCATGAAAACAATCTGGCAACGCTGGTAGAACATGAGTGAATGAATACAAACATAAAATCTAATGCTTACTTACTTACTTACTTAAGGGTCCTGTGCACCACCAGCGGTGCAAAGGGCCAACGTGAAAGACTTCCATCCTGGGCGGCTGCTCGCTTTTGCCTTGACCTGGGCCCAGATCAGATTCCTATCGATTTGCTTAATTTCCTTATTGAGGCTCCGCCGCCATGAGCCCCTGGGTCTGCCTCTGCTGCGATGTTCTGCCGGATTCCAGTCCAGCGCTTGCTTGCAGATTTCGTTTCCACCCCGTCGAAGTGTGTGGCCGACCCACCTCCACTTTCACTCTCGAATTTCTGTTGCTATCGGCTTCTGATGACATCGACGATGGAGCTCGGCATTTGAGATCCAGTTGTGAGGCCACCAGGCACGAAATATATACCGCAGGCATCGATTGATGAAGACCTGCAGCTTTTGAGTGTTCTTCGCTGATACACACCACGTCTCACTGGCGTATAACAACACAGATTTCACGTTCGAGTTGAAAATTCGGATTTTGGTGCGTTGACTTATCTGGTTGTATCTCCATACGTTTCGTAAACTCGCAAAGGCAGCCCTAGCCTTCTTGATTCGTACACCTATGTCGTTCTTGGTCCCGCCGTCCGACGCTATTTGGCTGCCAAGATATTGGAAACTTTCGACCTTCTCCACTGCTTGCCCCGCTATCGTAAAGTTGGAAGGGTTGCCCGTGTTGATATCCAATGATTTGGTCTTGTTGACGTTGATGGTGAGACCCGCCGCAGAGGAGCGTTCGGCTAGGTCATTGAGCTCAATGAATACCAAATAAAGGGACTCTTGGAATTCATTGACCTGCTCCAGGATGATGCGGAGCGTGACAATATGGTCCACACAAGATCTTCCGGCACGGAATCCTGCCTGCTGCCGTCGGAGAGTCACGTCGATCTTCTCCTGTATCCGATTCAGGATAACTTTGCACAGAACTTTGAGAACAATACACAGTAACATGATGCCTCGCCAATTGTCGCACACAGTCAGATCCCCCATCTTTGGGACCTTCACTAAGATTCCCTGCATCCAGTCGGCCGGAAAAGTCGCGGTGTCCCAGATATTACAGAATAGTTGATGCAACATTTGTGCGGATAGCATGGGGTCAGCTTTGAGCACCTCTGCTGATATGCGATCGACCCCTGGAGCCTTGTTGGATTTCATGCTTCGGACAGCTGCTTCAATCTCATGCAGTGATGGGACCTCGGAATTGACGCGAGTGATGCGCCGCACCCTAGGCGGATCATGCCGAGATGTTGATGGCTGGTTGGCCGTCGAAACTTGAAGAAGTTGTTCGAAGTGCTCAAACCAGCTTTTCAGCTGGTCAGTTGGGTCGGTAAGCAATTGTCCAGTCGTGTCCTTCACTGGCATCCTCGGGTTCATCCTTGCTCCACTCAGGCGTCGTGAGATATCGTAGAGGAGGCGTATATCGCCAGTGTTTGTGGCTTTCTCCCCTTCGTCAGCCAGGGAGTTCACCCACGCTTGCTTGTCCCGTCTGCAAGAGCGCTTGACTTCCTTCTCTAGAGCCGAGTACCGTTGACGGGCTTCGTTCTTGGCTCCTCTGGTTCTCGCCCGCTCTATCGCGGCTTTTGCTTCTCTATGCTCCTCAATCTTCCGCCAGATTTCATCTGTGATCCACTCTTTCCTCTGGGTGCACAGCTCACGCAAGTTGTTCTCGCTTGTTTCTATAAAGGCATTCTTGATGACCGTCCATTGTTCTTCTACGCTGCCACCTTCTGGAACGTCCGCAGGTCGAGTCTCAAGTTCTTCAACAAAAGACCTTTTTACCGCTGTCGGCGTGTGTTGAACCACCGCCCGAGTCTCTCCTCTCGTCGCTGGATCCGCGCCAAGCGTAGGCGGATTTCGCCGATTAGAAGATGATGGTCAGACGCGATGTCGGCGCTGCGTTTATTCCGGACATCAAGAAGGCTCCGTCTCCATTTTCGGCTGATGCAGAGGTGGTCGATCTGATTTTCGGTATGTCCATCACGGGAAACCCACGTGATTTTCTGCACTGGCCGATGGGGGCTCCCCCGATCACCATGTCGTTATTGCCACAAAATTCTGCAAACAGTCACCGTTCTCGCTCATTTCGCCGAGACCATGGCGTCCGATGACACGCTCGCATTGAAGTCGCCAGTGTAGATCTTGATGTCACCCTTTGGAACCTTATCCACGACGGCATTCAGTTGACTGTAAAAATTCTCCTTGTCCTGTAGCACGGCAGCATCGGTTGGCGCATAACATTGGATTATGGTAAGGTTACGAACCCGTGTTGTAAATCTGGCAACGATTATCCTCTCATTAACAGGCTCCCACTTGATGAACGCAGTACTTGCCTGGACGCTAAGTAGGAGACCAACTCCACCATGGCGGGGAGCGTTTTCACCTCGAATACCAGAGTATAGTAGTACCTGTCCTGACGGCAGTTTGTGTTCTCCAAAGTTTGGCCAACGAACTTCACTCAGTCCCAGGATTTCTAGCTTCATGCGTCGCGCCTCGGTGGCGAGTTGTGCCAGTTTACCCTGCTGGGCTAATGTCAATACATTCCATGGTCCAATTCGTGTCCGTTGTTTTGCGCTAAAAGTCGTTGCCGTTAAATCAGTTCGATGTATTTCTCTGTTGGTTTCTGTAACAATTATAAAGGTTTCAGAGACAGTAGTTGGTTGGCCTAAGGTCTCCTATCCGCCGTGATGGGGCTGCCATTTTAGATGTAGCTTCCGGGGAAGAGCATTTCTTATTCAGCCGCTGGATGCCAGTCAGACGCTGTTTGAGCCGCACCTCCATGGTGAACAGACGCTCGGGTTGGCTAAGCATTTTCTCTATCACCGTGCTATGGTTACCGCGCCAGTGTTCGCGTCGCACCTCCTCACTCTGCTATTGTCGGATTGACAACATGGCCCAGGCTAGCCAACCAGCTGTGTCCATGTTTCAGCTGGCAGTCTTTTGTGATCATATGACTCGTGGAGGCGTGAGGTAGGAACTTGTGAGGACCGGAGCTAGGTATATCGCTCCTTCCAGATTGTCACTCACCATTTTGTAACCCGAAAATCTAATGCGCGTGGGGGTTTTCCGGTGTCCAACTTGACCGACAATACGTTGCATCCAGGGGAACATGAACTATTCGAATTTTTCATTGAAAATGCTATGTTAAATTAGACGAAGTATTCGTTGCATCAGGGGCCCGCGGGCACTACGTCTATTCATTATAGGTCAGACAACACAGTAGGACTGAAAAATCTAACTGACTTTAATGTTCTCCCTTGCATTAAAGCACAACACGCCTATTGTGTTGCCTGACTCATAACGAATATTTTTGTATCCGCGGATACAACGCATACCAAAATTACACGAGTTACAATAGGCAGAACATCAAATTGAATACTTGTTTTGTTATCATCTAGAAATCATCAATCAAATTTAGTTTTCAGCTCGCTCTCAATGATAGCAGAATTAGTTTTCATTTTGATGTCACAGCAAAATTTATTCAATTTTGATATTTTAACCCTTTAAACGACCAAAACGACAGCAACATGAGTACCGTAAAACGGGGTATGATAATGCGGGTAACTTTGATAGTATAATATAAAGATTAAACTTACTCGCTGTGCTTTTTCCAAATTAGAAACATTGGTTCCATATTGTAGCTTACGGTATTTCCGTTGATATTGTATATAGTTTTTATATAGTATGTGTTACATATTTTATAAACATATTAAAAAACAATGTTCGTTTTTTTTCGACTGCTTGAAATGTATTTCCGATATAGCCATCACAAATTCTATGTTGTACTCTTATTGCTCATCATGTTTCCTGATTATATACTCATTCAAAGTTTCATATTTAAAGAACTTTTTTTTTGAGTTTCACCCATTTTTATTCTACATTCATCGAGCATTATCAAAGTAACCCAAAATCAAAATACTGAAGTTCGGTCACAAAACTAAAAAAAAATAGTGCAAATGCTTTAATTACCGTTAAACATATTACTAATGAATTGACTCTTGGATCCTCAGTACTTGTTTTAAAAATATAAAATTTGAAAAACATTCATTGCTGTAAAAACTATTTAGAATATACTTTAAAAAACTATCAATTTTACCCCGTTTTACGGTAATCATTATAGCTGCATCACAATTTAGTTTTCAATTTGATCTCAGACTTTGCTCGGGATACTTATCAATCGTAAATTGAAATCAAATCATGGTTTCAATTTGTTGTTGACATCAAAATTTGATTTCGATTTGCTATCATCATTGACATCAAGACTTTGCTCGGGTTAGGCGGTGTCTTTCAGAACGCGGAGCAACTCCGTATTGTAAGCTCGCTGATCTCACACACGCCTGTAAGGCGGAACAGTCTCATAGGGCAAGATTATATTCTATAGATATTAACACAGAAGACCCTAAGAAAGTCAAATACATATGATATCAAATTGATGTCAAATAGAAATTCGTGAGGCACAGTTTGCTTACGATTACTTGGGGAATTATTAAACACGCGTCTTTCTAATGTGAGCGTTGCTATTGTGAACCCTTAATTGCTATTTATGATTAATTTGTTGATTAGCTTCTGAAGTATAACTATCTGCTTTTGGAACTAGCTTCTGAAGTATATCTGATACATCCCTTATTCACAGGCCGAGGAGGAAGAATCTCGCAAAGAAACAGAGACGGCGGTTCCAGCTACTGCTAGCAGCAATTCAAACGAGCTGAATTTTGCACACATCATCGTTACAGCAGCGACTCCGATGCACGAGGATGCGGACAAGCAGTTCTCTCCTCCACCAGAGGAGCAGAATGAAGAGCAGGCCGAAGATCAAGCGACAGAGATAATCGAAAAACAAGAGCAAGAAACTCAAGAGGTTAGTGCAAAGGAAAAATCCAAGGTAGAATCACCTCCCAAAGAGATACCACAACCGAAACCACAGCCGAAGCCAGAGCAGAAGCAGCAGCAGCCAACAAAGCCACCAACTCCACCGAAGCCTGCTAAACCGCCATCTCCACCAAAACCAGTAAAGCCTGCATCCCCTCCAAAGGAACAGCACAAGGTGTCTTCTCCGCCATCCCAAGAATCAGCACTAGCAGAAGATCCGTTGCCAGCACCGTTGGAAGAACCAGCGGCACCTTTTGAATCCACCGCCTTCGAGGCCAACTTTGAAGCCAACTTTGCTGCCAACTTCGACGACGCTTTTGGAAACAATCAAGTCGAAATACCAAAACAGGTGGTCGGAGGAAGGGCCAGCATACCGGAAGAGCTTGAACCGCACCAGTTGGCGCGCTTGCAAAACCTCAAGGAATCCAACGCATAATGCTCATTCCCGAAGGTAAACCGTACGGATAGCACAATGGGCAAAATACAAAGATCAACTAAGCCAATAATATGAGGGAGATTATGATTTAGTTTTAAATAATGCATTAGCATTAATTTATTGATTCGCAATATTAGTGAACTGATGTGAAAAGGCTACCTGAACCCGAGGTCGTGGACCTTTTCGATTGTTCTATAATGGGCGATCATTGAAATTTGTCGTGAGTCACAGCTTTTACCATTTCAAGCGCACTACCCTTCTTATATGGAAAAAAATACCGAACATAGCTCAATCATTGAATGATTTTTCATAGGGATTATTTTGCCTTCTCATTGTATAAGTCGTTTCAGATGACTTCTATACCACGTTGAATAGGAAAATTCCGCATTTTGTAGATGCATGTTTTTAAAATACATCTCACTATTTCCTAAAACTAACTCAGAATAGGCCGTGATGATTTGGGTAAACATTTGTAATTCACTTGGCAAGGGGTCGGTCTAGAACGATGTTAGGATGTTAGTCTACGACGGCGTAGAGGCGAAGAACAAGCACACTTATGAATGGAGATTCGACTGTAATGATGATTTTTGTGATATTCGGCTAAGCAGTCTTTTTAATTTAGAACAAACAGTTAAATTTTGTCTAACGTGTCGATGCCGGTTAGCATCTTCTTCAGCGAAAAAAATATGTTTGTTCTTCGTCTAATGACTTTCCTAAGCGTGTAATTGTGTGTGTAATTACATAATTACACCGGCTCCGCAAAACTACAGCAAATGAGCCTGGAAAAATAAACGCATTATAAAAAAAAATTATACGCTTAGAAAAGCCGTTAGACAAATATTTTTTTCCCTGAAGAAGATGCTAACCGGCATGGAAACGTTGGACAAAATTTAAGCGTTTGTTCTATATTAAAAAGAATGCTTAGCCGAATATCACCAAAAAACATGCGCACTTGTTAACTGTTAACAGCTAATTGTCCCATAAAAAAATGAGCAAAGGTGGGACAGATATACTTTTATGCGAGGAGGGCGTCACATTTAGACTGTGTCCCAATGGATCAATGAAAATGCTGAGGTTTTCACAGAACTATGGCTGTGGCTACCACAGTTTTTTACATTCGATCGTCCATATACAGTAGCGCCAGAAGTATGCTGTGGTGGGTTCAAAACTTGACCATCTAAGTTGATCAATTGGCGAGTTAAATAACTTTCGAAATGTCACTTTTAACCACGAGTTAAATTTAACTCGGCAATTGGGACACGAATTTTCACTTAAAATTGACACATCGGAAATAAATTAAAATATTCGGAAAACAGGGAAGGCCCCAGCGTAGTGGTTTACATTCTTACCTCTCATTCCAATGTCACAAGTTCAATTATTATCCCCAGACCATAATGGGCCATGAGTCACGTGTGTTCTTCGGAAATTTTATCAGTTCCCGAAACTATGCTTTTGTGTTACTGAAGCGTGCTTATACATATACCTAAATTATTACTTCGTCCAGCGCCTCAAACTTTACGACAGTCTGAAAAAAATTGAGGTTTGTTTCAGGTGATTAGCATTTCTAAGTACAAGTTGTAAAACTCACACGTTGTTGTGCATCAATGCTGATCAAGTACTCCAGTTTGAAAGAATGTTTTATGACGTTCATGACTTATCAAAGTCTGCTTAACTGTCTTCGTTATGTTTTTTTGATCTCGTGAAAGATTATCTAGATATGAAAACATTTCTTAACCTCTTCATATTAAAGATGCACACGAAGTTGTTTCCTATGCAAGATTTTGACAGTCTTCTAAGTTTTGCAACAGTTCCAAAAGAGGCGCTTAACTTTCCATTGATCCATTTTCCGATTTTGTTGGTCTTATTTCAGAGTTATTTCAGATTTTGGTTTCAGTCTGCGTAACTCTTCTATTATTAACTCTGCCACTTGACAGGTCTTCTGCTCGATTGGAATGACGTTTTTTCAAGCCGTTGACAAATAATCGGCTGATCCTATTTTAAGGTGATACGATCCAGCGTCCACAACCCATAGGCACTTGCACTGCCACGCTGCCACTTCAAGTTTTCTATAGGGAGTGAATCTCCTCGGACACTATTGCGATTTCAGGCATTAAATGTGCATCACCAAACATGAGAAAGCAGTTTTTATTGTATTTTTCGGCAGCAAAAACTTCCCAACAAACAATTTGAGCTGAACAAAAGTTGAATAAGCCAATTATTATGTGAAGAAGAATATTTTTGCCTGATTAAGCTTTAATGCAGCTGTCAATGTACGTTGGGTTGTCCCCTGGAAAACATATCACCTTAACACGTCGTCACTCTACTGATTGGGATGTTTCTTCTTCTTCTTCTTCTTCTTCGCATTTTAACTTATTGCATATCGCATATTAGCTTATTGCGTGCTCTCAACTTAGTGTTCTAGATGCACTTCCACAGTTATTAATTGAGAGCTTTCGATGCCTGTACCATTTTTGCATTGATATGATTGTGTGGCAAGTCCAATCATACTTCTATGCCCAGGGAAGTCGAGAAATTTTCCAACCCGAAAAATTCCTAGACCGGACCGGGAATCGAACCCAGCCGCCTCCAGCATGGTCTTGCTTTGTAGCTGTGCCTCTACCGACTGAGCTAAGGGAAGCCCCCTTGGGATGTTTGCGTCCGGTTGAATTGGTGCTATCGGGTGTCCACTAAAAATTAAAATGAAAAGAATGGGTCGGGAAAAAACACCAGCGAAGTTTAGTTCAAACTTATTTATTTCATACAGCATAGTGAATATTGGAACATGACCGTTGAACGGCTGCCACATCGATTTTCCGGATGAAGCTTTTGATCCTGTAGATGAGTTGCTTGATGTCCTTGGCCTTCCAATTATCCTTGTATACCATGAAGCTCAATAGACCGAAAAAATCCTCGATAGGACGACGCAGCGGCAGATTTGTCGGATTCCGGTCTTTTGGTACATATGGTATATTTTGGCTTTCCGCCGTACTTCCGGGTCATCCAGCAGCATTGGCATCTCACGATTTGGATTTGCCCTTTGCTCGAGTCTTGCAGATGTTTGACTTCGAACAACGGAACTACCTCTGTTCCGGGTTACTGCCATGAATGCTAGGATACGGTATACGGCGGATACCGGATTTTTTTTTCCATTAAAATGGTCCACTGTGTACTTTTTTCCACGATCTTCGTTCGCTTGAACGAATTGTACAATGCGCGCGTGCAGTTCTCCCTATTTCGACGGCATGCTGAACACGATTATACCAAATTATACCATAGAGGTAACTCCATAGAGGTAACTCCATAGAAGTAACTCTAAGACCAGAAGGTCCCGAAGAAACGTGCTCAACTTTTTGGCTCAGCTCTGGTACTCTCTTCGGTCCCAAGCTAATCGAGACACCCCTCGAAACATAGGAAAATCCACGAACCCCTCATTTTATCTGTCAAACTTTCATAGCAAATCAAAACAAACATTGTGTAGTACTAGAATTTCGACTAGAATGAGGTACGTTAATCGATTTGCTTGGGACCAATAGGCTAGTCAAGTAGTGAGCCAATTTAAAATCGTTAGTTGCCACCGGTTGGTAACTCTAAGACCAGAAGGTCCAGAAGAAACGTGCTCAACTTTTCGGCTCAGCTCTGGTACTCTTTTCGGTCCCAAGCAAATCGATGCACCCTTCGAAACATAGGAAAATCCACGAACCCCTCATTTTATCTGTCAAATTTTCATAGAGAATCAAAACAAACATAGTGTAGCAGTGATGGAAAATTTCGCGAAAACTCACTATGACTCGCGAACTTTTCCCTTGGTGAACTTCGTGAAATATCGCGAACTTTTCCAACACTGTAGTGTAGTACTAGAATTTTGACTGGAATGGGGTACTTCAATCGATTTCTTGGGACCAATACACGGATAGAAATCTCCTTATACCTTTTGGTAAATTTCTATTGCTGATTATTCATAAAATGTATAAGTCAACTAATAAGCAGACGCCTTGCAAAAAGTTAATGAAGATCATGTGTCAAATGCAATGTATAAGCGGTCACACATACCTTTTATGCATTCTTATAGGACCTATGTGGTTTGTCTTATGGAATGTATAAGGCTGATGTTTTGGCAAAAATGTATAAGTGAAACACATGAATAAAATAATTGATTTTCGTTACGTGTAGGCTAGTCAAGTAGTGGCCAATTTTAAATCGTTAGTTTCCAACCGGTGTGTATAGTAAATTAAAGTGTGTGGCAGCGCCAAAATCAAGCTGTGGTGGGTGTAGAATCAAAACCAAAAATTTAAAATTATCCAGTGAGCTAATTTGGAACTATGAATACAAACTATATATAAAATATGCAAAAGGTTCGTTAATTTCTGTTTTAATTCTTTATAAAATCATGGGAGAGACTTTGCTTTGACTGTCCCACCCGGGTATTTTTGTGCGTAGTCATGACCTACTCGTCCCACCCACTTCCAGTGTCTCTACTGTTATCCAAACTATTTATGAACAAAAAAATACCATCAAGATTTCGTTCGTTCATGAAATTTTATTATTAGTTAAAACTACATACCGAGAAACCGGAAAGCTATCTTATACAAACGACAACTTACCATCTATCGCTCCAAGGTAAAAGCTTCGAACGAATTTGATAGCAAAGATGCCAACCTCAAAGGGGCGTGTTAGAAATTTGTGACAAGTAATGCATAGGAAAAAGTGATGAAAGCGAAGTTGATTTTTTTTTTCCTAAATTTATCGTGGCTTACTTAATGCATATGCTCCCAAAATAAAGTTTTGCACCATTTCAAGCTGAACATTGCATTAGGTCCTAAGTAATATTGACAGAATCTCCTCGTCGACTTTCTTTTTGTATCCCCGCGGCCATGTAACGACATTCCCAGGTATTTTCAACACATAGATCGATAAAAGAAGCTTTTATCTATCACTTAATATGACAAACACAACAAGAAACGGTTATAACTGTGAACAAGTTTTTAATGAAAGAGAAAGTCGACGAACATAATCGATCAACGTTACTTAGAACCTAATGCAAAGTTCAGCTTAATTACTCATTTTCAATATCCGCTGATTTCTCCTTTGCTCAAACGCATTCATTTTGATATGTTGTCTTAGTTATTAAGGTAGACTATCAGATGGTTGTTTTAACCAATTAACATCGTTCTAGATCCCAAAATGATTCGTCTCAATCAACACACTGCCTATCAACAGAATGTTACATTTTAAGCTGCATGAAACAATCACAAATAAATGTTTGAACATACAAGTTCGCCACAAACTTTACACTATACTGGATGTTGACGATTCTTCAAAATTGCATCGTTAGAGATATAGCCAATAAATGTAAAAAAAAGTAGGACCATTGGATGTATTTTACAATGATATGATGTTTCAAACCCTTCGATAAGATACTTTTATATGGTCCACCATTTCCATGTGCATGTGCCTCCTGTTTGTATATGCACGTGCCGACGGCAATGTGATAAATTTGACCTTTATGTTTTGAAACGAGTCTAATCCAAATCTTCCATTTTAAACGACATATATGTTCAGGATATGACAGAATATGTTCGGATAAAGCGTGATTGCGGAAAACACGACATGGTTTATAACGTTACACAATTCAGAAACCTCATGATC